AGTGCACGATTCCCCCATTAGCGGACGGGTGCCGATGGTAATAAATTTCCAAGATTCGTTACCAGATGCCAGCATAGTCTTCGAGCGTCAGTGCTGCGCTCTGCAGGTCGTTCTAGCAAGTTTGCTCGACTCTGCTGCTACACGCTTCGCCTTTTCTCTTTCTATTCAATAGAAGTATATATATATATATCTGTGCACACGCATCCCATCCCAACGTAAAGCCTCTTCTAACATTCCGCTTTGTACACAGGGCCGTAGGTATTGAGATATTATAAAAAAAAAAATTTCGTTAAGCCGAGAATATTCGCGGGATTTTTTCTCCATTCGAAAAGCATTAAGTTATCTACTCCCAGGTTAAGTGAATCTACGAACCACAAGCACGAATTAAAACGGGCAGTATTTTATTTTCTAGTAGAGAAAAAAGTATTTGGCCAATCATCCGACACCTAAAAGATATAAAAGTCCGACGTTCCCTATTTCCATAAGAATTAGAAATACTAGTTGGTATAAAAAATCACATCAATTTAAAACATACGATCTCTTACGAGACGAGACCGATAAAGTATCGTGTTTCACGAAACTTGCGACATATCGATCATCGCGCAATCAACAAACATTCCATTTCCATTTCCTCCAACTACATTCGATAGGTTATTATATACGAAGATACCTAATGGTCTGTTCATACCTGCATGCGTGTATCGCGAATAAATATTCCATGGTGACACGTGGGATTCGTGTGAGGATAAAACCTGCAGGACGCGGAGTATCCTTGCTGTAAATTTTTCTTCGACTGCAAAGTTACAAGTATTGCGTGGGCACATCGTGACAAGGAGCGTATATGTTAATACTGCGAAGCTGCTACCCGTTACTAGTCGTTCTAGGATCTAATTATAATTCTATAAAGCGCGACAGCCGTACAAGACGCAAACTCTTATCAGTGATCTCAGTCAGTCCACTACTGGCTCCGTGAACGTAGCTACTGTGTTATGGTTCTTCTCACGGGCGAATCCTCGTCGCGCGATGCCATAGCTAAGCCAACGACCAATGGGAGCGTAGCTTTAGAATGGTAAGGTAGAACACCGGCTGTCTGGAGTACGTTCAGAAATCTGTCTAGACTCGACTCTAGTATCGTTCTATCCTCTTCATAGCAAATATAGTAAAAAGAAACGCCACGTGCCCGAATTACCCTGAGTAAGATTTATGAACGCACCCCTGGAGTAATGCAATACGAAACATGACAAGAACACAATTACAACAAAAATTGTTGTAATTATCTATAATCACATAAACGTTATATTCTAAAGAGACAGTGAATTGTGATAGCGACTTAAAGCCGTCGTTACACTTGTCGCTCTCATTAATCGTTAATGACACATTTAATATATCAAAGTTACGCTAACTCAATAATTAAATAAATTGTTATTACGCGTTAAAAGCATCGCGTTAGCAATTGCGAGCTAGGTAAATATTATATTGATATTCCTTTTTTTTTCTGTATTCATAATAACTACGATTATCCTCGCAGAATGCCATTTTGAGTACCTTTCGCTTTTGAGCTACTGCGCCAACCCTGAATAACCGTAAAGGCAGCTACGAGAGTAAACTGCAATTAAATCTGCATCTATTAGATGATGCAAGTTGGGAAATATAATCATTATACATTTTTTTTTAGTCAATGAAATTTCATGCAATCTCTATTACGTGAGTTAGTTTATCGCCCACTGACTGCAGTGTATTATATCATTAAAATCGTCGAAATGATCCCAGTGAACGGTGCTTAAAGTTATACAGCAGACGCAAGTGCCTCGACGCCAACCGGGTGGTGCAAGTTTTATATGTGATATGCGTAACGTTACAAATGTTAATTGCAACTGCATCTACAAATGTTTTATTAGCTCTATACCCCACTTACCCCTACCTCTGCGTCATTCGCCTTATCTATCCATTTATCTCACCTATTACATTAGTTCAATCATTTGAAAGTTGAACATGATTTCTGTCTATCATAACTACCATAGGCGACGCCAAACGCCGTTTTACGTAACGTATTAATCGCAAAATTGTATAATCGCTCTTGATCGGTGCCGGTTAAAAAGAAATCTGTAATTGCCGAGTATAAATTGTACTAACATATGAAAATAGTGGAGGCAGGCACTGGGTGGAGGTTCGGTTAATGTAAATCGTGTATACAGATTAATGGCGACTAAATTGGTTGGATCACGAGAGGGCATTTTCAAGGTATGAATATAAATTTGATATATCTCACTGGCGGATCCTTAATGATTCGTGAAAAATCATCAAATTATTTACCATCCAGTTTACCATAAATACGAAATTGAAGTAACCAAAATATCACTATATAGATATACCACGTATGTTAAAATAGCTATAATTTTTCTTCAATCTCTCTCAGCTTCTATTTGCTAAAATTTCATGAAATTTCTAGAGACCATTCCGGTCCATTAGAATGATTTTTCAATAAAAAATCGTCACTACAAAAAAAAATGTTCAATGCAAGTCTTTAAAATGTGATAAAAATCTCTGCCTCATCTCGTCCCAACGTTAATTACCTTAGATATAAAATATTTTTCCGATTGGTATTACACGAGAATATTCATGCGAAACATCATAATTAATATCCCACATAAATGTTGTATATCAATACATGGTAACGTTATAAGATAATTATTATCCTCCAACGATAAACGTAAACGTGACAAATGGGTTGTCGTACGAGAAATAAGGCAAAATAGACTCTCAAGAAATTCAAAGGTTCTTATGAAAAAAATTTGAATGAAAAAAAAAATATATATATATATATATATGCAATAAAAAAAAGACTTGCAACAAAGAGAACTACCCTAATTATCTAAGATTTTTTCAAAATTATCTATTCGCATCGGACTACCGTACCAGTTTACATATGGCTAATAATTATGGCCCGTTCATTAAAATGCATTATGATTAACGCACTAACCACTGCGACCTCCTAACGACAATCAAACTGCCATTAACGTATTTCTATCACGTAATCCAACCGACAGTTAACTTATGATTAATTGATTCCCAAGATTTGCACAAAGTCTACGTAACGCGTGTCGGTTTATTTAAGTAGCAGGGATAGGTGCTGCCGCGCGATAATTATCATTAATATCTAGATAAATCACGAGATCGTAATTAGTTTTTTTTTTTTTTTCAATTTTTATTACCATTTTTTG